ATCAGACAATGCTAGCCGTGACTAGCATTGATCAGTGGAAGGTCACAAACAGGATGGGGCATGATGGAAGCTCAGCAATACGAAGCGAGAAAAGGCGATGCTGCTGTCTTAAGCCAGACTACGTGGAGCACCACAGACAGAGGACGTTATCTCTCAGTCCCCGCCGCAGTGCAGCATCGATTAGGCCCACAAACTCGGAAATGTGTCCCCTGGATGAGGCATGTGGCAGCCTCTTGCTACGAGCTCAAGGCTTTCAATTGGCGCACAATGTGGACGCAGCCTGTGCAGTTTGCCGCTTGACCCCAATGGAAGGATTGTCCGATACCTATCGTTTCCGGGCATGAAGCTCATTAGGGTTCATCAGGCTTGGTTTTCACGTTTACGTTTGCGTTTTTGCTTTTACGTTTTTTTACGCGTAAAAACGTAAATTTAGAAAAGGGCCTATTTTTGCGGCCATTTTTACGTTTTCGCGGCTCCCTGGGACACACAGGTTACACGACGAAAGCTGCCTACAATGATCAGTCCTGCCCATCTCCAACACCAGCAACGCAATGTCCACCTCGCCTTTGGCAAGGGCGACAACGACGTTTAACAAAAGCGCGTTTTGTGCCCCTTCCAGGGCGTCTGTCTGCCGCTCTCCGGACTGCGAAAGTCTGTATGTACTGTCCTTATGTACACCAGGCAGTTTTTGCATTGCATTTACGTGTATTTTCTCATTTTTACTCGTAAAAACGTAAAAACTATTCTTACGCGTAAAAACGTAAATAAGATCAGTTTTACGGCGTAAAACTCAAGCCTGGAGGTCATGAAGGCCATGACAGGTACAAGATCCATAAGACCCAAAAATCCAACCCCAAAAGCACCCAAAACCCGGAGGTGACCTTCGAAAACTTCATGACCTTTTACACTTCATGTTCGGAAATCATGCGTGTCGGACATTTGCGCCGTGCACGCTAGCTCGGGATACAAAAATTCCCCAAGTGGCCCCCAAGGTAGGGGGTGATGAACGCGAATTTCTTCTGCGCAAATATGCAACCCGCGCGGCGCTTTAGCAGTGCGAAAACAAACACATCTGTCCACTACTTTGTATTGCAATGCATGAAAGTCCATTACGTTCAGATGAACTGCAACGAAATGCACTGCATTCTATTGGACTCTACTGCATTGCGTTGTACTGTGCTGTGCTGCACTGCCTGTTCCGTACTGAAATTTATTGTACCGTACTGTACTGCGCTGCATCGCACTGTACTTTGGCCACTGATGTTGAATACAACGGCACCCTCACCAGGTACGACATGATGCGGCCATTGAGGCCCTCATCTGTGCTCCTCTCGTCGTCTTTCTCTGCGTACTCGAAGACGGAGGGGTTGATGGTGCAGATTTCTTTCCCCTGCCCCCCGGCCTTCCGGCACTGGGGCATCTTTGGAGGATCATCGCCCTGAAGGAGGCGACGCGTCGGGGATTCCAGCGCCGCCCTCCTTTCGGAAACGACGCGACCGACATGCGGCAGGCGAAATCCGTGTGTTTGGGACACAGCCTGCAACAGCACGTGCACACGAGGTCAGACGTGCGAACGGGGAGAGTATCAGAATTTGAGGTGAGGAGGCAGCCTGGCGAGGGTTTGCAATGGTTTGGGTGATGTTCAAGTTGCAATTCAGATTGTATAGATGATGTTTGCACTCGCCAGCAGCGCGCGACAAACAGTGGCTCTGCGCCTGGAAGGACGCTGCGGGGTGCAACATTTCACCCAGGTGGACTGATTGCCATTGTGCGATCATAGATTCACCCCGTGAGAGATTGGAGCAGCTGTCGTTGATGCTGGGGCAAGGTCATTGACCGCAATTCCTTAAGTGCCAAAGGCGGGTTATGGGTCCAATTTCTCAGCGTGCATGCCCACCATGGGCTTGTAGAAGTTATGCCACCTTTAGCATGGGGTGGGGTTTTCGAGGCGAGCAGCTTTGCTCCCATCCTGAAATGTTATCAAATGTTACTGGCCAATTTGGGCTGGATGTCTCTTATTGTTTCCTAAGTTTTGTTTTCAAGTTATTTTGAACAACATCTGAGCGGTATAGAACGGTTCCAATCAGCTCAGTCTCCTTGCCGGTCGGTTTCGTGCAGAAACTCTTGGGCACATACTGTGAAGCTCGGCATTCCGGATGGCGTTTGCCATCAGGTAATTGAGACAGATGCCACCGCAGTGCAGCAGCGACTCCTAAAGCCACAGACAGCACGTATGCGCGATCGCAGTGCCAGGATCAAAGTATATGAGATCGCAACACGTCATCTCAAGGTGGCCCTCACGCAATCGGATCTGCGCCGATGTCAACGCCGCCGTTCCCCTTCTATTGCCCCCACCGTCCGCTTCAGGAAAACTATCGCCCAACGCGGAAACACTGCACATGCGCACGCCAGGCAAATAGTACTTCCGCTCCCGGAAAACGAATCGCCAAAATCGGCGACGGCCGGGCCAGACATGTGCGTGCTTTGATTCCTCAACCGACGACCGACGACGACTTTGACCATTGAGCCATCGTGTGTTGCCGACAGGCAACGCGCCTCGAGGCTGTCGATAGGGACGCCTATCCGCGCGTTCCACCCACCCCTTGCGGATGCCCTACACACATCGTTTCCCAACGTGCTCGAACGGGCGAGCACATTCCGCGCCGCAGCAGCCGCGACCCCACCACCCCCGCCCGCTGGCCGCAAAGCGACAGGACGGCTCCGTGCCCGGAGGACCCTTCTGCGCCTCTCGAATCTGCAGCAATTCTTTTTCTGATCCTCACCCCGATGGCGAGGAGGGCGAGCAGGGCCCCCGCCAGCCGCCCTCGCCGCGCAGCCATGGCCTCGCGCAGGGGGTGGGGTGTGGTCGGGGGTGTCTGCGGCCGACCCGGCCACCTTCCCTTTTGAGTTTGTTTGCCGCTTTCTTTGGCGGTGTCCTCTCTTTGATGCGCTGGGATTTGGTCCCCGCGAGGTTCCGCGCGGCAGCCGCGCGAAAGAGGCCTCAGGGGCGGTGGCGAGTCAACGGCCTTCTCGGTTCGGTCAGAAGGGCCGTGGGATGTGGGGCTGGTCAAAGGGCTGGCGCGCTGCCTAGTCAGCTCCCGGAGCCATCCTGATGGCGGCGAGTCAGACCGGGGATCGCCTTGTTGAAGAGTCGGCCTTCGGGCGAAAGTGTAGCCGATCGGTTACGGAATTTTGGGGGCGGCGCGTCGGCGTTTTGCTTGGCTTTGTTGATGCCTTGTTTTCTGTCTCCATTCGGGTGGCGTTGATCTTGAATTATTAAAGTAGTAATTTGATTTTGTGAATATTTCATTGCAATTTTGAATTTATAAATATAGGAAACTTTAAGTTTGCTACTTTCTTTTGTTTAGTTTCAGTTTTTAGTTTTTATTTCTAAACCGATCGGCAGCTACTTGCGAGGCACAACATGCCTGTATTGCCCCCACAACAATATGATATGCCGTATAATATGCTCAAGCAGAAAATGGAAAGAAAAGCCACTGTTCACAACTATACATTCCCATTTAGAGCGCATCTGAATCAGCTCGCAGTGGGCCAGAGTATTCATTCAATTTGGGCAGCTTTCAGTCTCGGACCGGCGATTGCCATAAATCATGAGTCGGCGGTCACACAAGTGCAGTTGCTCCGATAATATGACAGCGAAACTAAGTAACCCGTGACGCGTTGACAAGCTTTGAGCTCAGCGTGCCTGAGACCAACACTGCTCGCGGCGCCCTGAAATAAAGGGCGTCAAAACACGGATAAAGAACTTACAGTTAATGTTGCCCGACTTTGCCCAATTGCTTTGTTTAGTGTGGCCGTGCAAGACAATGCGGGGCCCTTGCACCTTGCACGGTGTGACTGGCATGTGCAACAGTTTTGTGTTCCTCGCCCGACCATCTCATACGCTCTTCAATTGTGTGCAACGCATGCAGAAGGTGGCCAAGGAAAACAAAAAAATTGAAATCCAAGATATCTGTCCACAGCTAGGAAGTTTCGTTTCTTCCAGCGGAAATTGGTGTCTGTGCACAAAGTTGCATACTTCCACACACCATACATACATTGCAACTAATGGATTCTTAGGACTGCAGCGTGTAACAAAAAGTATATTGATTGAAGGAGATCACTTCAGCAACAAAATTTGCCACGCTCTGATGAAATGGTCAATTCTGTAACAGTGACAGTTTTGCCAGGGGCAATATTTCCAAACGCTGCTTCGTTGAAAAGCATTTCCGCAGTTCGAAATTTGAGATTCTCCTCGACGCTCAGAACAACGACAGTGTTGTTCCTCGGTTTTCAACTACTGCTCCATGCAGCAGAAGTTGAAAAGAACGGATTTACTCAGCTCCAACCACTTCAGCAAGCCCTATGATTGAATTTGGCTTCAAGGCACAGAAAGTGAGGCCCTTGCACTTTGCAGGCGCATCCAAAACGTCGCTCCGTCCCACGTTCGTTTCACCGCTCGCCCGTTGCTCAAAGGAGGGGAAACTCAAACACCAGGACATCGCCAAAAAAAGCCGAGGACGCCCAAAAAAGCCGTGCCCTGGAGGCCCCACTGTTGATGGTCCACCTTGGCGCACAGGCGCGTCGCGAGTGCCTCACCTGGCCGCACCCCATCGGCGGCAAGAGCCGAGGCACCTTCACAGGGGGGCACACGCGGGGGGGTAGGGGTAGGAGGAGCTGCGCGCCGCCCATACCGGGGCCGCAGCGAAGGAAGCGAGGCAGCCCGGCGCCCGACCCTGCGCCAATTCTGGTCCAAGGTGCGGTGGCGCACATGCGTGGCCCCTTGGTCTCGCGGCATCCCGCCAAGATCCAGAGCCGACGCTGTGCCTGGATCTCGACGGGGATGGGGGCGGCGGCTTCGGGCCCCTGCCGCCTGGAGAGTGGCGCGGTAATGAGGGGCCTTGCGGTGATTTTGGCGATGTGTTGCAAGGATTGGATCTCCGGGTTGTGCGGCGGTGCAGGTAGGGGATCTGCGGAGAGGCGCCCGGTGGCGGCGGGGCATGGCGGAGGGGGTGCAGGTGGGTGGGCTGCCGGGTGCGCCCGAGGGGAGGGCCGCATTGGCCGCGAATGAATTCTTGGCGCGGCGGGCGGGATCCAGGATTCTGTGCATGGAGGCCGTCCGGGGTGGGGCAGATGCGGCGGCCTCCCTGGGGCACTGCGTCGTGGGCGGCGGGGTCGGGGATGGGAATGGGTTGAAGACACCAAATTTGTGAGCTTGTGAATTTCGCGAATTCCGTGATCCGTGTACGGAGGGTGGGTCCACTTTGGACGTGCGTGTGCGGCAGGATGGCGGGAGCTCGGTGGGGCAGGGGGTCGGCGTGAAGCCCCTGGCGGCGCTGGCGTCGATGAGGGAGACATTTCAGGTGCGCGATCCGGCGGGATGCGAATCTGTACGGGCCGGCGCCCCTTGGCCGTGGGCGCTGCGGGTTGAGTTCGTTTTCTTGCCTGGCTGGGGACGGATGTTGCAATATTTGGCCTTCGGACACGCCCGTAAGCGCCGGGCCTGACGCCAAGGCGCCTGTGACTTCTTCACCTGCATTGGCAGCGAGTTGGTGGGCAGCAGCCAAACTCGATTTTGCCCGTTGTTCGCATGGGTATGCGATGTTCTTCCAACAGCCTGCAGAGTTTTTCAGAACCTCGAGGGATCATGGGCTGTGCGCGGTGCCAGCTACAGGCCTTGCGACTGTGCATGCCCATTCCTCCCCCCCATCATAGTTGACAATTGTCTGGGCTGCCTGTTTTGTGAAGGCTGATGCCTTCCAAAGGGCTCTCCTTAGGAGTGGGCAGACGCTGCCGAGGAGGCGACAGACTGTGGACGAATCGGAAAATCCGCCATTTCCTGAGAAGGAAGGCTTCACTGCGGATGACATGCTGCTGCACTCTCCGGTGCGGTTAACTGCCACCCCTGAACTTTGTGACTTGTCCATCATTGCCTTGAAAGACTCCTGTCCACTCCTCTTTCTTTGCTTACTTTTCCTGAAGAACAGGGACACATGCAGCCCTTGCGCCTGAATGGCTATGTGGGGCACAGCAGTGCAAACATAATGTCCAGAATGCCATATCTGTAGATGTTGATCAATTTTACAATGCGGAATGATGTACTGCCCTCACACGGAGGCTGGCAAATCGTGGCAGCGGAAAGCTCAGCGAGCACAGGTGCAGTGCTTTCTCAGGTTCAGGCAAATACAGCCAACAGAATGACAATGCTGTCTAGACAATGGAATGGACCACACGCGATGTGTCTGAATGCTGGACCTTGAGGATGCTGCCCATGCCTACCTGCGTGCTGGAGTCCATCCATGTTAAAGACAATCAGTAGGGGAGCCCTCATGCACCATGACAGGGTGGATTTGTTTTCTAAAAAAATAGAAACATCTGTTGTGAATTGTGCAACCCATCCTGGGCAAAGCATGTTTGTATCACATCTGTGCCATTGAGGATGATGTAGGAATATCCAAAGCCTAGCCAAAAGCGCATAACAATGAAGCATGGACAGCTGTAAAAGAACACCCCTGTTGTGTGCCCCAGCGCACAGCCTGAACTCCCATTTGGAAGATTCCACCACAAAGTGCATGATCCTTCCTCCAGTGCAAATCTCTTTACTACCTCTGTCTCAAAAGTCGTGCCCGATCTGAAGTTTGCCTGAACGAAGGCCAAAACGAGCCAGCCAGAAAATTGATCGAAACAACTGTGACGCGCTGTATCGATAGCTGCCCATAGAGCCCTCAAACATAGCAAATGGCGCCGCCACTTGTGCTCTATGTCAAGACAAGCTGAAACGCGACTTCGCCATTTTTCACGATCTTGGGTGGGGCATGGCGAGGTCGTCTGGCCCTTCGACGGACATGGATCGAGCTGAGCTGTTGCTGGGCCAGAGGTATGGCTTGGTGGTTCACTATGCCTTGGCAATGCACCCCGGCTCCCAACAGATTCAGCTGGTAAAAGGATCGGAGATTGCAGCAGAATTTGGGGTGTTGACAAGAACTGCATGAAGGTAGTGGTTCAAAGCAAACATACAACTCGATCAGTTCAAGAGCATCGACTTGGCCAACACGCCAAGGTGTGGAAGGCCATCTTTGCTGACACCAGACAAAAAGAGGGCCATGTTTGTAGTTAAGGTGGCCAATCGAAGAGGAACCGTGCCCCAACTTCAGCGTAAGATTCTGGAGTAGGGACAAGCCGTGCATCAGAGCGTTGGTGGCTGAAAACCATGGGGGCCGTGTCGACAAGGCGGTGGATCAAACCGCCCTTGACTTCTAGCCAGATCTGGAACAGATTGCAGTTTGTGGTAAATCAGGTTGACAGCAAAACGATGTTGTTTCCTTCGGCTTTCAACCTAGTTCATGTCGATGAAACATGGTTCCACCTGATGGTTGATGGTGAGCATGCACACCATTTCCCTGAAGAGGTGCTGGAAGGTTGTGTCACCACCCAGCACAAGAGTCGCATCCCTAAAGTGATGTTCATAGTGGCTAACTCAAGGCCCGATGATGCATTACAGAGCGATGGGATTACTGCCGTTGTGTTGAAGTGCATTAATCAGCCTTCCAATGCCCCAGTTTGGCATGTCCCTAACTCCTCTACATAATTTGCCTCCAACAGACAGAGTGGGGCCATTGCACTTGCAGACCATGGAGTGCGTGTGCACAACCACAATGTACAACCAAACTGTCCTTCGTCAGTTCATTTTTGGCAGCGTCTGGCGCGTCGACCAAGGATCATATGCCAGCTGCTTTGCAAACTCTCATGAATTGTATTCAGTCAAACGCAATGTGGAGATATGGAAAAACACTGCCAAGATTAAACTATGTTGTCCAGTTCAGAGTTGGACTTGTAAATAGTATGTCAGGTTTTGGAACTTCAGAAAATAATTTGGTCCGATTCAGACAATTTTGCATGACTTGTGCACGATGTTGCACTACTAGCTAAAATACGAGTTAGTGTGCTTTGAACTCAAAGAATTGTATAAAATGGCTGTTTTTGCCTATTTTTTTGCCAATGGGTGGAAGGGCAATTCATTTGTCAAAGTTTTGTTCGGCGATTAGGGTTTTCTTGACAAATTGAATTGAAGAGGAAGCCAGCATGAATTGCTTGCCTGACAACAGTTAAGGATCCAGATGTGCCCATTCACTATGAAGCACACACTATTTGTCATGTTGAGATACACTGTACATCATGAGGCATGCACCATGCATCGTGGTCCACACACTATGTTCTATTGTTCTGTTCATGATGCCGATGAGCCACCAAACATGCGACTCTTGCCTCTAGTTGTTGTGTTGCTGAAACTGAATGAGAGGATTTCTGTGCATAGTCCTGTTTGGAATTGTACTGAAATCTACTTTACCAGTACCAAGACGCACTATTAGATTACCTGAAGGAATGGTGGTCAGGAACATCCTCTGCCATATCTTGTAGGACACCATCCCGACCTCTCTGCTCCACCTCAGCAATGAGAACATCAGCCGGGCGGTCAAGATGTTTGGCGCGATCCTCCGGTACCAGGGCCATGGGTCTGACCCTGTGGATGTGGGCCAACGGGTGGAGCTGGCTGCAAAACTTGTGCACTCAGGCATCAAGAGGCCGGACCTGAAGGATGAGCTGTACATGCAGCTGATGAAACAGACGCGAGGAAACCCAGTGGAGGAGTCCAAGATCAGGGCATGGGAGCTGCTGCTGGTTGTGGCGTCCGCAATTCCTCCAAACAAGGTTGGGGAGCGAGCAATTCAGTTTGCAAACTGCCGATCTCAGTTTTCTCTGAGGATGACTGAGGGATATCATGTTCGCATTCTGTCGATTTCGGCTTTTACCTTAAGGTAAACCCACTTGTGATGCGGAAGCAAGCTGGGCCCTTAAGTAGATAACCAATTTTAATTTCCAGCCAAGGTCAAGCAGCAGAGCAAATCTGTTGGCAAATTGCTATCTTCAATTTGCTTGCCATGGGTTCGTCATCTGATGTTGCCGGGTGAACAAAGAGAATCGGTGAGTGATTGGCGAACGATCAACTTGAGTTTCGTGGCAAGGCGGTGCAGCTGATAATATCCAATTTGGACCTTTTGATGTACAATTCCAAGCACTCCCTCCATGCTCAGCGCTTGGAAATGAATCTTAACAAAGTATCCGCAGTCCAGTTTCGATGTGGTGCTCACTCTTTGCATCTTCTGCCCAGGACTTCGTAGCACTCATGTCAGAGTACATTAATGCAGTGCCCCAGAGCATGCAGGAGAGTGAGGCTGTGAAGGCGTTGTCAAAAAGGGTGTGGACCAGCCTGAAGCGCTGTGCAAAAGCTGGTCCCAGGAGAACGGTATGGCACTAAACTGGCTGCCTCCTCCATCAACTGTCAAACTGTCTCAAGAGTAAGCAAATACAGTGCAATTCAAGGACAACAATTATTAAGGAAAAATGATAAGAAAAATGCCATGCATCTTTGCAACCACAATAAGTATTTGCACAATGAGACCACCACCTGCCATGATGAATGAGTGCTGTGCTTGAGCTATTGACGTGGAATCAGGCGTTCTAGGGTAGCGACAAACATGTTGTGCAGGTAATTTGCGGGAATGTGCAAATTAACATTGCAAAACATGCTGCCAAAATTGTGCTCTTGTGAGGCGGGTTGTCAATCTGTGCCTAGATTGCGTGAATTGTTCCAGTTGCTCCTTGCTCCAAGAGTCTCCACTTTCCAAATCTTCAAATTTTTTGGGTGTTGCCGATCTTTCCTCTTGGTGTTCATTACACACATTTATTCCCTGTAAGTTTCATGATAGCCAATGCCTCCTTATTCATGTGCATGGCTGTAAATCAAAAGACATTTTTTCAAGGGGACTACAAGGACGAAGTCTAATTAATTGTACATGAAATGCACAGTCGAATCCATACAAGTTATAAGATGAGGGTCAATATATGTAGAGAATGGTATATTGTGATATATGTATTGATTGCTGATGTTGGCGCATGTTCATTCCCCCAGATGTGAGGTCACTGATTGGCATGTTTGGGATATGCGAGTTCCTCCTGGTTGAATTCAGTTCCACAATTTTTGTTCGTTTTCTGTGGATATTTACTCACTTCGCTCCTTTCTTTGTTCCCAGCCTATCGGCCACGATGAGATCGAGGCGCTGCTGGAAGACCGCAAGCTGTCCACAGACGTCGACTTGCTGGATGGCACCAGCCAGAAACTGCACTATGACATCACCACCACAGTTCAGGTTGGCAATGGAGCTTGCTGCTTTAGCAATAGACATAGGAAAGCGATGGATTTAAAACAAACTCCTTTCATGGCGATTTTATTGGCTGGATTTGCCAGCATGTAATTGCAAAGGAAGTCCTTGCACTTGCAGGCAGTGGCAATCACGCAAACATCCATTCAATGTTTGGTAAATATCCCCAGGAGGAAAAAAGCAGACATAGCATAAAGTTAGGCCTGAAATTGCCTTCAAGTTGCAAGCGCAGTAGTTTGTCATGCTTTGTTGACAAGTGGAGTGAACTCGTTCAGGACAGCGTTTTCAGATTATCGTTCCTCATACTGCCCAATTACAGCATGAAAAGTGTCCAAGGTATCTTTTCTGGAGATGGCAACCAGGACGATAAGTGGGGAGATATCATCAGAGGCATTGTGTATTTTGAACTGTGCTGTTTGCTGCCTTGAAGGTGCAATGGTGATCTGGGGCTGACACAAGTCAAGCTGTATGTTGTGTGTGCACACAAGTTGCGCTTGCTGATGAAACGATGTGACGTGTGACTTCATGTTGCCGCACACAGACGTAAAGGGAAATCAGCATTGCCATATGTCAAATTCAATCTGCATCAATATATTACCGTATTTACCCGGTATTAGTAGGCACCCCCTTTTAGTATCCACCCCCATCTTCGGGGGTCGAAACCACATTAGTATCCAGGACCCGGTGTTAGTATCCACTCCCAAACCTTAACAGAAACGAGCTCAAGAGGGCCCGTTGGACTCGCCTTGGGGAGAGGAAGCTATTTTGCATGTCTTTGCTTGTGCAGCACTCTTGTTGCATGCCTTGACGTGCAACAGCAGCTGCAAACAGTTCACCCTCTAGTGCGATGAACTTGATGGCTGCAAACTTCACAACTTAAGCAGCTGATGATTTGGGAGAGGATTCAGAGGGTGTCGATGAGGGTTTTGATGGCTTTGCATCAGATATGGATGTGGACAGCGATTGATTATGAAAGCGTTTCTGCGTTTTTGGTTGGGATTATGTAATTTTGACTTGGTGATGGCTGTTGCTGTATTGCATCTTGCATTTTTTCAAGCCTATTCTTGGGCATTTCATCGCCTATTTTTCAAAAATTTCTTTGCCTACTCCTTGGATGGGGGGTCTAAACTATGTTAGTATCCATGACCCATTATTAGTATCCACCGCTCAAATTTGAGGTCCAATACACGCCTACTAATACCGGGTAAATACGCTATCGCTATGTTTAGTTCAGCCTTGTGAGTGCATGTGCGCACCGATTGTCATCTGTTGAGAAGGTTATTCAGGAGATGCGTGAAACTGGCGCAGGAAGGTGTGGAAGCCCTTGCGGCTGCTATAGACCTCAAGAACTACTCCACCTTCACCCTGTTTGAGTCCAAGCCCCCGCCCAAGAGCGACAATGCCGAGGCAGCACTCGTCATGACAGCCGAGCACACTGCCCTCGATGAGAACAGATACGTGGCGGATAGCCTGTCAGACATGCGCATCAAGGGCGGTGGCAGGAGCCTGCTATTCAAGAAGCTGATGTTCCGGGCCAATGATGAGATGATCACAGAGCCCCAGTTTGTGAGCCTGTCGTACGTTCAGGCCCAGCATGACTACCTGCTGGGAAACTACCCTGTGGTGAGGGACGATGCGGCAGAGATGTGCGCGCTGCAGATCTATGCTGAGCACGGGACAGTGCTGGCGGATGCTGGGCAGGCATTTGTGAAGGAGGTGGAGAGCCACATCACCAAACAGGTGCGTAAGACTGTTCTGATTGATACATGGAAGTATTGATGGATCAGCACTGCTTGAATCAGTGACGCTGTATGTGGAGGGTTAGGAACAGGTCATCGCCATTGTCGTGTGGCAGTGACTCTTCTTTTGTGTGCCTTTGCTGTGTCCCTCTGCTGGGGTGCTGAGTCCCAAACAAGTATTTTATTTAATAGACTGCATTGATGGAGCAAGATAGTACTGTGGTAGCAAAAGTAGCAGCAGTAGCCTGAGCATTTATGTTTTTTCCCGATTGTGTTTTGAGCCCTCGTGTTTGGGAGGGGGATCAAATCTCACCAAGGTAGATGTGCGCTCTTGGAAGCTCTGTCTGGAGTGTTGATTCTCCTCTCTTTCAGTGACATTGCTGAAAGACAACAAAATCAATTGTATTAGATGAGCAAAGGTATTTATTGCCAAAACCAAAGTTTTGTTTGGAGATGAATCGATAAAGTTATTATCAAGAAAACAAAGCAGTAGATGGTGCCTTGGCTCAGTTCATGCTCGCCAGTGCGGCCAGTGAATGCAGGACAGCAATGGGCTGATGAGCAGAAACAAAGTGACGGGGGAGAGAAAAGGGAGACGTTCAGACATTGTTGGCATGGGTTAAGAACTGGACTTCAAGGAAAAGCAAAAGATATAGATAAGATATGTAAGTAGAATTGGCAAAGCCAGGAAGTTTGGTTTTGTTCTGGAAGGAATGCATAGTTGTGGATGCACTGGCAGGTGCTGATGACTCGGCCAAGGGAGGAGTGGCGGCAGGACGTGCATAGGAGGTACTTGGCCCTGTTCAGTCTGTCGCAAAATGACGCCAAGGGCCAGTTCCTGAAGATCTTGAGGACGTTGCCATATGGTCAGTACACTGAGTGTGGCAATGTGCTTGGAATTGACAGAATCTTTGCCCTGAGCTGTGTGCCTAAAGTATGAAGCGCTGCAATACGACAGTGATTACTGTGTCCGCAGGACCGTTTTTTGGATGTTTCATCGAATCAGTTGGAAAAGCAGCAGCGGACTTGTTAGCCTTTGGATGTGTCAGATGCTTAGAGGGCAACGTGGTGCAGTTGTTTGTAGCTGTGGGTGCACAAGGATCTGATTTCCTAGTTGGTCACCTGGTAGGAGCTGTTCATGCCAGAAGGCCAGAACGGCGAGTTGCAATCCTCTGTAAATTCATCAGACATAGACCGGGACCAAGTGTTCAGTATTGGTGAGCATGAATGGTTGCTTCCTTTGAGTTTTTCAATTGCTTTTGGCTCTGGATCATTCTATCTCACACTGGATTTCAAGTGCTGCACTTCTGTGGACTTCAGACATGTGACTCACAATGTACAAACCTTGGGCACTGCACAGGGAATTCAGTGTTCTTCATGGTCAAGCGCATTGAGGATCCCATCGGCCTGCTGCCCTCCAAGCTGATCTTTGGCATCAACCGCCGTGGTGTCCACTTCTTCCGCCCAGTGCCCAAGGAGTACCTGCATTCGGCAGAGCTGCGTGACATCATGCAATTTGGCTCCAGCAGCCAGGCCGTGTTTTTTAAGATGAGGGTGGCTGGTGTGCTGCACATCTTCCAGTTCGAAAGCAAGCAGGGGGAGGACATATGCATGGCCTTGCAGACACACATCAGCGACATCATGATGAAGAAGTACTCAAAGGTGGGAGATTTGCATGTTCGGCAGAAAAGATGTGTTGTTTGGCGATCATCCATTCCTTAGGAGGAGTTTTGGTCATGATAGCTGCCACATTGTATGCAGAGATGAGTGCAGTGCTGTGAATGTGTGCCTCTGTCCTGTCAATGCAGCACACTTCCCAACACAGGGAACAGGGAGCCCAAGTGTGTGTACAAGGCGACTCCATATGTAGGCACAGACTCAAGCCCTGCCATTTATTTTCATCTTTTCTTCCTTCACCAAATAGATCACTCACCAATGTGTCTACCTCCCACACACTTGCCAACAGGGTGGGTGTCAAGCATGAACAGGCATGTCAACTGCCGCTGCATTCATGACAAGCATTGCGATGCATGCAAGGACATGTTCCAGAGTCAAATTCCAGAGAGGTTCCTTATCAAAATCAACATGAATACAACGTTTTTTGGGGCAACTACCACAAGCCAACAGGCATCATCATCACTGTCACAGCGAGTATCAGCTATCCCCCTTGCTGGCAATTGCTCTCAGCCTGCTGTTTATACCCGACAGTTCAGAGGAGATGTTGGTGTGGGGGATAGCTCAGCATTGTTGTGACATTCGTGGCAACGCTTTTTTGCACCTGTTGGCTACTCTCGGGAGCATTGCAGCCTTGTGAACTTCGTCGACAGAGATTTTGAACCCAGGGGCACATCCTTGTTGACGTTTTTGGATCGAGTCAGGGTTTCACTGTATTTTCTGCATTGGCTGCTGCCTACTCATTGTAGCTGGTGCAATGTACAACTGGGCTTTGTGTCTGTGATTTCCTGGCAAATGGGAATAGTGCTGGAGTCTTTTATTTGTTGTTTTGCTGTTTATTTTGTGACATATTTGAGTGTACATTTGTGATTGTGTATGAATATCCTGGCAATGGAATTGTGAGCACTAGGGCAATCACTTAGGGAGGTAGCTCACCTTGATCGCAATTGGATTTGTGGGGCGGAGCAGTACCCCAGCTCCTATCAAGCGATGCTATTGCTCGAAGCTGCATTGCATGTTGTTGAACTCGATGGCACTCTTTGTGCCCCATCGTCAACAAGGTGTGGAGAATTGATTATCCCTTTTTGACTATGCTGCCCATGGAATTTGCTTTGAAATTGACGAGTTGTGTACTGTTTGTTGTTCTGATGTGTGAAAATGCCGTGTGGTACTTAATGTCTAGTCCATTTCAGTTTGTTGCAGTGAATTACTTGGGATATGTTTCAGCACTAGTGATGTAATCCCAGGAAGTCAAGGCGCCAATCTGACATAGTTCGGTTCCGATGCTGAAGAGTACCACTGCTGCACTGATGCTACGCTTGAAAGCTTCTGTGTCGTAGCATAAAATTAGGACCATTCCATATGGTGGCAGTGGAAAGGCTTTGAAAGCAGGCCATCTAGGTGGCGCTGCTGTGATTGGCAACACTGCTGATAGATGAAGACAGCAAGCAAACTCAGCAAGAGTACTTGCTGTGCGGACCTGTGCGCAGTGTCTCAGGTGTGTGGCAGCATAGGCTGAAACGGAGCAAGGACGATGTGTGTCCCACCGCAGGGCAAGCAGCTGACATCGTCTGCACCTGATCGCCCTTCAGGGGCTGCGGGCCTGGCCCAGGCCAACTTCGGCCCAAAATACGAGCAGCACATGAAGCAGATGCAGGAGGCAGTGAGCGAGTCTGAGACCAAGATCGAGGACCAAGTCAAGGTGGTCCAGGGTCTGGAGTATGAGGAGGAAAAGGCACTGGAAGAGCTTAAGGCTGTGAAAGAGAGTCTGACGGAGGAGGAGGCCAAGAAGAACGCCCTGCAGGCTGAGGTGGATGGGATGCGTGCCGAACTGGAGAAGTACAGAATGGAGCTGAGTGAGGTCAATGCGGTAAGGATTTGTTCTGATTTATCTTCTTTTCCTCGGTGTTTGAATTTTGCGATTGCCTTTGGAATTTGAAAATCTACTTTACCGTCACTGTCTGCAGGGCCAAACAGTTGTCCTGTATCATGTGTCGCGATCGCTACGGTGCACATTTACAGGGCTAGAACATCTGTTGTTGGCCTTTGTAGCTCTGCACTCTGCCTGTTGGGCACCCTTGGTGTGTTACTGCTGTGGGTGATGGCTGCTGTGCTGTGTGTCCTCCTGTGATCGGAGACTCTGCATCGTGTTTCATAGCATGGAGGCAGTCTCACCTGCTTTTCTCGATCAGGAGGAGGGATGCTCGTTGGGTGAGGTATTTCTCTGTTATTTTGGCAGAGAATCCTCCTTTCTGCTTGTTGGCACAATGAGCGATGTGCAAAACCTTGTGGATGAGTAAGCCTGCCATCGCCAATCATGTCCAAGGGCAGTGCTTATTAGAGTGTTAAAATGTTGTTATGGGATTCCGCCTTTTGCCATCAGTGATTTAGAGAAAGAATGACAAGCAGCATTGTGTGTATTGTGGGCTGCACTTGTCCATCTAGAAGGGGTGGGGGGTTAGAGATGAAAGTAAGAACTTTGGCAACAGATGCTTGTGCAAGTGAGTAGCTCCTGAAGTTGCCATAGTTCTCCACAGTCAGCGATTTCCCACATTTGGATAGAGGCCATTTTATGGGTTATTTTATGGTGCTCTGGGTTTACCTTTCTGCTTAGAGTTGCATGAGCTTGTGAGTTTATGGCTAGAGAGAATATGCAGGGTGTCAGTGGCCGAGAAGATGTCTTTGTCTCCAGTTTCGCCTTGAAGGACGATCGACAGCACAGCATTCACAGTAACATGGGGAAACATGAGCAACTCGCTGGTGGGCGATCTTGTTTTCTCTTAGGATTTGTTGCATCATGTCAACTACATATTCTGACATTTGTTTGAACAAAACAAAGCAAAGCCAACTCACTGATCAGGCAATATCGGGTGTCAACTACTGTGCGACAATCCATCTTCCAATCATTGGTTTTGGTTCTTTGTTCTTGAACAACCAATCAGTTGCTGGTGCTTTTGCATCACATGGTGTGTAGGCTGATTCTGCCATGGTGTTAATGCGGGTGCAGACTATTGCGGCAGGCGAGGCGCAGAGGCAAGCCGCAGTGGACAAGGTCAAGGAAAACAATGACTCTGCTCAGGTCAGGGAAATCCAAAAGCTCCTGGAACTGAAGGAGCACGAGGCGGAGGATGTGTCTAATAGGTGGGCTTAGAAAAAGGCATAGTCCAAGGCTGGGTTAATGTACCAGGCAGTTTTGGTATTCCCACAGTATATGTGCGTGTAAATACACGAACAATGGAGGGTTTTGAACTTGGGGCGTTCGATGACTGGTGGGCTATACCAGGGTGGATAGGCAGCCCTGCTGTTCATGAACCTCTCTACTACAATGGCTATTACAGAGGTAAAGACACAAGAAAACCCGCAATCCAGAGGACCATTTAGGGTACCTGATGCGTGTCTTGTGTGGGGTGAGAGGACAAGTTGTAGTGTACTGACACGGTTGCCACTTTGGCTAGAAATCTCTTGTGCAAGACACACCATTGCAAGGCAAGGAATACTGCCCGCTCCCAAGGAGATCTGCAAGGTTAATGACTGGCCACCAACAGACGCTTTGAAATGTTGAAGCCTTTGGTAAGGCGACCTGACACTGGGTCTGCACATGCCAAGGAACTTATAAATGGAAAGGTGTTGAGCAACAGACCTCGGAAAGTGGTGCTGAATTCCCAAAGTTAAAAGGTTGTAATGTATTTTGTGTTTAACTGTGTTGCCACCAAGAACCATCCGAATGTGTAGAGACGCCTGCCCAGCCCTCCATTGACTCTTGCTGTTGTCAAATGAAGGATCCAAACACTGAAGGCTGACGCAGAGGCTGCAGAGGCCGAACGTGCCACAGTGATGGAGCTGCTGGCGGAAAAGGAGAAGGACAAGGATGAGTGTGTGGGCGACCTGAGCAGGCAGCTCAAAGAATTGCAGGTGTGCACAGCACCTTGGAAGTCAGATCATCCGACTCTCATGCCACTCGCACAAGAGGCAATTAGCAACTCTACCAGTGAAATCGAAAGAAGATTATATTTTTGGGATGCCTGTGAAGTATAAATAGAGATAAGCTAGCTTGTGTTAATGTATTTATAAGCTAGCTTGTGTTAATGTATTTTACATCATTCATTGCACCAGCTATTTAGATTGTGTCAATTTTTGAATAACCTGCCCATTTGGGGTTGGCTGTCCTTGCCAGCAGTTCCTGCACTTCTCTTCACAGGGCAAACATTGCTCTTGTGCATTCAGGCAGCATTGAGCATGCTAAACCAAACTGAATTGATATTATTTGCGTTCAGCAGAGAGCAACGTGCAATCAAATTATGTATTGCATCATGGAGCGGCCATTGTCTCAAACAGTTTGCTTACAGGCACATCCGGCACCTCAGTTTTGGCAAACCCAGGTACCCACAGTACATTTAGTTATGAACGCTACCAAAATGTCTCTGTGTGCACCGATGGCCCTCTCTTTTTGCAAGAGTGGACAGATGGGGAACAGCACATGTTGATTGGCCATTCAAACTGCAGGTGAACAGCAAGGCAGCAATGAAGGCCAAGGATGACAAGATAAACAGCGCCATGGAGAAGCTTGCCAACATTACTGCAATGTACAATGAAAATCTGGCAGACCTGGAACAGATGAAGGAAGAACAGAAGGAGGTGAGCGAACTTCGCGAGCTGAAGCGGGAGATCGAGTCACGGGAGCGTGAGCAGGCCATGGTGATCGAGCAGCAGGCCAAGAAGCTCGAGGAGATGGAGCATGACTACAAGACTGAGCAAGTACAAAGGAAGAGGTGCGATGCCTGGGCCTCGATCGTGGTCTTGGCTTGCAGACAGCACTTGAATGCTATTGATTGCGTTTGGCAGGTGGTGACAGCAAATGTTCCTGCAGATTGTAAGCAGCAACATGCATATGCACATTGGGCATTTGACTTGCCGCTATATGCAGTCTGCTGACTGATGCATTGGGTTTCCTAGTACGATCTGGACCTGTTTGTTGTGCTGCTATACTGCAAAGTGGCAGCTTGTCCACCTTGATCACTCCTGTTGCCACAGCATGGTCTTTCAGTTTGCACATGGTGTAGCCCGAGATTGAAACAACGAGCAAGTGAAGAATCCAGGACAGTGTGTAGTACCAGCCTGGTAGCCTGTTGCTACACCATTGTTGAGAATTCTTGGCACTGCAAGGGTGCACTGATCCCATGCACAGGCTCTTGAAGCATGGGCGAGTCTGCCCATGCCCGTCCACGTCCATCCAGATCCGCGCTGGCCCGTTCCATGCAAGAGTCCGCTGCATGTTCACGCACTTGACCGCTCACTGTGCCCGCTTTCACCCCACACCCAGGATCTTCAATCAGATGGAAGACATGAAGGGCAAGATCCGGGTGTACGCCCGCGTGCGCCCAATCCTCCCCTTCGAGTCCGCCAAGGGCCAGACCTGCGCCGTCACGGTTCAGGACGAGCTCACTCTCTCCCACTTCTGGAAGGACGAGAAGAAACCTCGCGAGTACTGCTTCGACCAGGTCTTCCCGCAGGACTCTACCCAGGAGGACATCTTTGAAGGGACCAAGCACCTCGTGCAGTCCGCAGTGGACGGCTACAACGTCTGCATCTTCGCCTACGGCCAGACGGGCTCCGGCAAGACGCACACGATATACGGCGACGCGGAGCACCCCGGGCTGACGCCCAGGGGCATCAGGCAGCTGTTCGCCGTGCTGGAGCGCGACTCGGGCAAGTTCACGTCGTCGGTGACGTGCTACATGCTGGAGATCTACCAGGACGCGATGGTGGACCTGCTGGCGTCCCACCCCTCGACGGTGGCGACCGCGGCGTCGTCGTCCCCGCCGCCGAAGTCGGGCCAGCAGAACAAGGTGGGTGCGGGGCCTCAGGCAACGACGAGGCTGGCTGGGGGCGGGGGGAGGCGCCTCGTGGGGCTGCATGTCATACCATAATAACTGACATGATGCAGTCATGTGGCATAAAATTACTGGCTGCACCAAATCGGTGACTGCTTGCACCAAGTCACGTGCACATCATGTCCAACTCCGTCAAAACTAACCTAACCTAAAACCCAAAACCTAAACCTACACCTGCCCTAACCCTAACCCTAACCCTAAACTCACCCTGAAACTAAACCTAACCCTAAAATTGAGGTTAGGACAAAGTGTGCACGTGACTTGGTGCAAGCAGTCACCGATTTGGTGCAGGCAGTAATATTATTTCCAGTCATGTTTATGCGATGTGTTGTATTGATGTGGCTGCAGCAATGATGCGGTAGTAATGGATGTTGCTGATCGCAGCAGGAAAGCACGCGGCTTAGAGCGTGGAAGAAAGATGGCCGGATTTCAGTGGATTTCATTGTCAAATGGACCCATGGTGAACAATTAAATCACAGAACCAGCATTCATCAACAGTAATCAACTATGATCAGCACTCTGCTCTTGACAAACGACCCTGCTCGACTCCTTAAGTAACGTTGGAACTCCGAGGTCCATCAGGTCCAAAACTTCCTCCTTGATCCGGCAGCCACCGCACTAACGGGACTTGAGCCTTGCCGTCACCGATTCCAGCATCGGAGAAGTCCCAAGAAAGCAGCCAGGCATATGAAAGTAATGGTCATCTGAATCCCAAGTATGGATCGGTCCTTGCAATGGACGTGGCTAAATCTCAAACTCCTGGTCCAAAAATGGTTTAAGTAACAGGGATCACCCAAACGAAGTCACACTCCCGAGTCCCAACAAGAGGTCTGGCCAGCGGCCATTGGTGAGACCATTTGTTGGGACTCGAAGTTTGACATCGTCTGGGTGAACTCGGTCCCTGAACCAGTGTTGGAACTGGAGATTGACACTTAAAGTGTTGAATCCTGTCCCCTTGGTTTGCTAAAGTGTGCCGCATACTTGCTTTGCAAGTGTCGATCTATCCTTGGGATTTGGATGGCCCGTTTGCTTTCATACACCAGTAGTTGCATCGCTCATTCTGTTATAATAGATCATGCTCTCCAAATTCTTGCACCCGACAGGCATCGATGTGCCCAGGAAAATCCATGCAATTTGGGTTCTGTGTCACGAGATACCATTCCGCACACCACCCTGCTGCACAAACCCAAAAAATTGGTTGGAGGGAACAAGAATATCAGAAGTCCATTTTGAATGCTTTTGTCTTTACAGGCTGAACATTTGCATCTCACTCAGATGATGCACACAAGGCTGGTGAATGGGTATATGTGTCACGCCATAATTTGTTGGATGTTCAAGTTGCACCGCATGAGCTTCGCCACAAATAACCAAAGTGTCCAATGGAGTTTGAATGCACACAACGCATCTTTGGCAAAGCAAGGCAAAACATGGTCCGTTGTGTCACATGTTACTGCCAATTGACGCTAAGGCAACTTTGGATTGTGCAAACGCGATACTGGAAGCGTGGAGATGTTTGTATGTTTGGGGCAACTCTCATGCGTGAAGATATACTTGCTGTCGCATGCAATGCGCAAGGGATGTGTTTTGCCACTGATGGGCAGGTTTATTTTATTCAATCTTGTGTTCAACTGAATGCATGTAGAAAGTAGATGCATCACGAGCTGTAATCAATAGTCTGACAGGTAAACGAGGAGGTAATTTATTGATTGGGTCAGTGGTGTATGCACCACCCCCCACGCCGTATGGATGGTGGGGGAAAAGGAAATGAGCTGTTACCGCACCAGCATTTTCAGAGTAAACGTGGCGCACCTTGTAAGCATTCCGGGCAGAAAGTTGTTCCCTGACAGCCTGGTTCTTCGAGGCTCCAGAAGTGGCCTTTCGATGTGTACCATGAAGTGCTACCTGTCTGTTGACCCAGCAATGCACTGCAATGTAATGCATTAGGAGCACCAGCAAACCAACGCCATCCAATTTGACGATCACTGTTGTGTATGTGATGTCCACAGGAGCCACCCCCAAAGCTGGAGATCAAGAGGGACGCGATGGGCATGGTTGTGGTGCAGGGAGCGGCCCTTGTGGAGGTCACCTCACCTGAGCAGCTGCTGGAAACCATCGAGTGGGGCCAACGCCGGCGGCATGTGTCTGAGACCCAGATGAACCGTGCCTCATCACGCTCGCACCTCATAATGAGTTTCATCGTGGAGAGCACGAACCTTCAAACCCAGGTCGTGAGCAGGGGCAAGCTCAGCTTCGTGGACCTGGCTGGATCGGAAAGGTGGGGTCGTTTTCCTTGTCTGTCGTTCGTTCCATGCGTTCACCCCCATTCAATTTTCAATTGAACCCCTATTCAAATAATGCATTTTGTTCCTTGTTCTGTCTTTCCCTTCTCGTTGTGATGATGACATCAGCGATTCTGTCGAATTCACCAGTGCCTCGCAGAACATGAATTGCACGACGTGCTGCTTCGGCGTTCCCTTCCAAGTCCAGCTCATTCCACGTGCACGTTTTGTCAAGCGATGGCGAGGCAAGCAGAAGGATCACAACGCGATGCAACCGTTCGCTGTGCAGGGTCAAGAAGTCAGGGTCCACGGGCGAGACGCTGAAGGAGGCCCAAGCCATCAACAAGTCCCTCTCCGCCCTGGGCGACGTCATCTCCGCCCTGGCCACCTCGCAGGCCCACATCCCCTACCGCAATCACAAGCTCACCATGCTCATGAGCGACAGCCTGGGCGGCAACGCCAAGACGCTCATGTTCGTCAACGCCTCGCCCACCAACGCCAACATCGACGAGACCCAAAACTCGCTGCAGTACGCCACGCGCGTGCGCACCATCAAGAACGACGCCAGCAAGAACGAGTGCAGCAAGGACGCAGCGCGGCTGAGGAAGCAGATCGACAGGTGGAAGGAGCAGGCCGGCCTGAAGCCGGAGGAGCGGGATGTGGTGGGCATACTGCGGGCGTTCGGGGAGGCGGAGGAATAGGGGGTGCGCGTGAGGGGGGCTCAAAATAGTCTGTGCAGGCGAATTTTCTTGAGCGATGGAGGCGTCTCTCCGAGCGGCGCGTGGCGCTTGGTGCACGTCGCGCGTCGCAATTTTTGCGAAATTTATCCGCAATTTCAAATTGTGTTTTCGGGGAGACATCAATTGGGTTCTTGTAGCTGTGTGCGGAACAGCATCGTGGGCGCCCTGACGCGCGACGAAAGACGCCCGAAATGCAAAACTATGCGTGCACAAGCTGCGGTGCGGGTCGGCGCAAGCGTGCGTTACATCCGTGCAGGTGGCAGCGGTGGGTTTTGTCTTCAGGAGAGAGGACAAGTTGCACTGCAGTGTATTATCAACTGACGGTCTGGTGAACTATTTTCAGTTGGCGCCCAGCAGTCATTTGGTTTATGTGTGGCGCACCTGGACGCATGGTGGTTGTTCTGAAATTGCTCTGCGCCGCCGTTCTATGTTTCAGGTGTTGCATGAATGAGACGTGGAGGGCGGTTGTAGGCGCAGCGTGTGTATACGAGGGTAATGTAATCTGGGTATGCAGTCTGGAGAAGCCGTGGTTGCCACCACGTGGGTCGACGGGCCTTGCATGGGGAAGCTGCGGCTCGCCGGTGTCGTCGCTGCTTCTTTTCTGGAGGTTTGAAAGGTGCCATTGTGTACAAAAATTGATGACCGATCTAGAAGCCCTGGTGTGGACGGATCCAGCTACACGATTAAGAATGATTATTTTAATTCTAGAGTCAATAATCGGAGTTTTGTAAAGTTAAGCGCACGAATTGCGTTTTGTGATGTCTTGTTGGGGTCCAATGATACACCGTGGGGCAGCACTTCAGAAGATATGGTGGTCCCAGCAGCACTGCTGCCGATCTCTGTTGATTCTATAGGATGGAGTATCTTCGCTCGTTAGGCTGCCCCTGCTTTTGAATTTCGGAACGGCCTACGAATGCAGATTGGTCGGGCACCAGCTGACATGTCGACTTGCCAAGACGCTGTTTCTCTCGGGAGGGATGGCAATCCGACGTCTGCGTCTATTCCTGTCAAAATTTGTTCATTGAGCTCATGAAGGACTGATCGACCGACTGATTGTGATTGATGATTGATTGACTGCTGGCCAGCGTGGTCAAAGCAAAGTTCTCCCCTGCTTCATTTTTGCGCCCCAAGGGGATTCAGTAACCCCAAACGGGAAAAGGGCGGACCCAGAAGTCTCAAGGAGCGTCGGGGTCGCGGGCCCAGGTGGGCAGACACATATGAACGGTAGTCGGAGGAGAATTCAAGAGATACCACGGTGGCGACATGCGCAATGGGTTGCCATGGCAGCAGGGCTGGAAAACTTCTTCTTCATTTTTGCGCCCACGCATCTCCCCGCCACAATCATTCAAAAGGCAAGTTATAAGCCCGCAGCCAACAACAGCCATTCGTTCTCATTCACCTTCACAGATCCAAACGAATTTCTTCCCATGATGCTGAGCAAAATCGAGTGAAGCTCACAGCAGGCCTTCGCTCGCCAATCCTACCATTCAAATCTTTCGAATACAGGTCTTGCCATATCCCTACCAGGGAGAGGCTGCGGTTTGCAGGCCCCGCAGTCGCGGACAGAAGCTCAACCAGAGCAGCTTCAGACTCTCCGAGGACGTGTTGGTTGGGCATGGTGCCTAAAGCTCACGGCTAGGCCAACAGAGACAGTTCATCTCTTGTGTACCTAGCCAATGCCTTCAGGCTGCTCTTGAAGCGACCCAGCGCAGCCTGAAAGACAGTACTGCCAGGTTTGCGGCGCTCAAACGGCCCCCACACTGACGCCGTTTCATACATTAGGCCACACCATCGACAGTAGGAATACACAGTCTGCTGCCCAAGCACAAGATCAAGCGCAGGCAATCGCGTTCAGATGCCTCTTTGCTCTGGCACCAGAGTGAGCGGCGACGGTCGCAATCGACAGCCTCCTGGCCGACCATCAGATGAGAACCGACATTGCGTCACGCACGAAGATCCGCAATTCGCCACGATCCCCTTCGGTGATGCGTAGCGTGTCGTCCACGAAGATGACGGTGAACTCGGCGTCCGCCCGTGGTCCAATGGCGTTGCGAACGACGTCTGGGAGGGGCGGGGATTCCACAGTCGGGATGTCGAAGCCACTGCACCAGCAATTGCAGCTCAGGCATGTGCAAATGCATGACTGCCTTCATCCCATTTGGTGGGCACAAATCATAGCGTGCAACAGGAAGAATACAAAACGGACGAATGGGTGAGTCCATCACAGAAACGTGAAGTGTAGCGCTCTGGCAATGACAAGTGTCTCTGCTATATGCAGATCATGAGACGATATGACATGTTTGTTTCTTGTGGTCCGCAAGGACCCCACAATGCTCACCGCAGATGATGCCCTAAACGCATGCCATAGGAGCACACGAAGTGCACCAGTCCCTGGACAGCAAACAACCCAGAGACAAGAAGCAGAGGGCACTGCCCCACGTAACCTCAGCCCGAAACAGAACGGGCTGGAAAAAGCGGGCAGGCACATGGGAACCACTACGTACAAACTCTATGCACTGTTTGAGCCCAGTGTATATTCTTAACAACCTGGTCAACGGTCTGGAAGTTCAGTGGACTTGGCAATCCAAGGGTCAATGCGTCCAAGGCATTAGGGTTGTTGAAACACGGACAAGGGCGCGAGCAAGCGAGTACTACTAGAGGCCGACCCTGACGTCCGTTACACAACGGTCCGCCCTAACCGTCCGTTAAATAACCCCAAATTGGCAGAAATCGGGGCCTGGGGAGCGGCAGGGAAGCATGTCTAAAACCGCTAAAGTACAAAACCAAAGGAAAAATTAAAGAAATTAAAAAGCGCTAAAATCGCACGATGAATGGAAAAAAGAGTAAAAATGGTCAAACCAAGTGAATATGGTAAAAACATCGGAGATATGGTACGGGATTTACCGGACGGTACCAGGCGGCCAGCGCCGTCCTCCAGCGAGTGGGCACTACGAGCGAATGGAACCATAAATCCGTAGATTCGAAATGTGTCCGACGCAGTCCCATTACGGGACTCCCACAGGATGAGGCACCGTGCTGGCCCTGACACAAGGTTCGCCGCTCTTTTTCCGTTATCAGAACTGACGAAGGTCAGGAGAAACATAAAGCTTGGGTCAGCATGCGCAACGCAAGGTTCAAAACCCCCTAGAACACATTCTGACATTGCCCTGTTGAGCCAGATAATCAGCGTGGGTGTCCAGGATCCAAATCCGACATGGCGGGCGGACTGCTCGCGCGGACATGGTACTCTGGGAACACGTCACTGAATGTGCTGCCAGGACACCGCCATTGGCAGAGCCACATGAAGCTTAACCCAATGACTCCCTTGCACCCAGTGAGCTATTTGGCATTTCGGCGGAGTGCTGGATAGTGCATACACTGAATCAAGCCGTCAGCGCGAATTGCCTCGCCCAAACTTGTAGGTAGATGGGGACTGGCTCGCCTCTGCGGTGATTACGGCATTTTGTCAGTGCATCTTCTTCAGAGAGCGCACAGAGACGAAGGCATCGCAGCAATGAATCTCCTCCAGGCCAACACGAACACTGTGGGGTTTTCCCGGCGAGTGTTTATCCGACAACTGCAGCAAAACCGACCTTGCATGGTGGCCTCCTACCTGTTCAGGATCTCGACCATCGAGCTCATGAAGGACACTTTCAGCGTGCTGACGCCCTGCACTTCAAACTTGTGTTTCAAGGTGAGCCGCACAGCAGGCGTGTCGATTGATGACAGCCAAGGCAGCCGCAGGCCATTGTAGTTGAAGTCCACGATGTTGTCCAGGTCCGCCTGTGCATCACAGCAACGCCGCAAGCGTTTGACAAAGTGCCGCTTCATTCGCTGATTCTGTCACTTTCACTAGGTGCGGGTGATACATATGTGCGTTTCACGGATGCCTATTGCACCGCACAGTACTGTGGTTTGTTGCACTGACCTGCACTGCACAGTGCTGTGCGCAGCTGTACCCTCTGTCCAATTTCTTGATTGGGATGTGCACATTTCTGCACTCACAAACGTCAAAGCCCACACACAATCCTGTAAGATACATGGTGGTGGGTATACTACTCCAAGCTGTATAGTTGCGTGGCATTTGCGCAATACCAAGACAAACCAAGCTTAACTAGCCCTAAATGAATGACCATTGGCAAGCAGACACGACATCGTATTGTTAAACCACTCCATCCCAGCCACCTGCAAAACCCTCTTTAGGCACGTGGGTGAAAACTGTTACACACACTTGGACTTGACGCTCAGGCTTTACACCTGGATTTGGACCAGAACATACAACTAGTGCCTTGGTCCTTGGTCCTGTACCCAGTCCGCCCCAAATGATGTTCTGCACAGTGTCTCACCGCCATGACATCCACCCTTTGGAAGATCTGGCCCACTGTAAAGGGCGTGACCGCCAGCTGGCCGATCAGAGGCCCGGGCCTGGTGCCCCCCAGGTTGCCCCTGTTGAAACCGCTGGAGTACAGCAGCCTCCAGACTCCCCCCAGCAGGTCCATCTGGTCGCTGACCTCAGAGCCAGGGCCGGCGTAAGGGGACAACGACACGGAGCCGCACAGCGTCTCCAGCTTCTCCACCACCTCTCGCACGCTGGCATCCCTGCGTGGCTGAAACGAGTTGGAGCGTCAAGCGCAGATCTTGGGCAGGGGCATGCTTGGCATATCACTCCACTTTTGTGCTGCAAAATGTTGAGAGGCCATGATGTGCCTGCTCAGGAGTTGTTCAGCTGGACACGGTTGAGAGGCTGATGTTCATTACCCAGTCTTACGTTGGTCCATGTGGAGTGCAATGAGCATCAATTCAATTCTGTTCTGTAATTTCATGTTGTTGGCGTTGCTGGGCTGTTTGCAAGCACAATCGATGGCTCCACCACGCGTTGGCTGTGAGTAGTCGAGTGAAAATGCGACTCTTCTGATGTCTCTGTCGCTCAAAGAAGGGAAGCTGACACAAATGCGGGCCTTAGACCTTGCTCATTGGATAAGGTCCAACGGCATCGACAACCTTCATCAATGCTGATCTATGCCCTGGCAGCTAAAGCGATGATTGTCCTGTGAATCCACAGCAACCTGACCAAATCTGCTGACACAGGCCATTTCCTTCTTTAGCAGATTGGAACAACTCGACAGCAGGTTACCAAGATCTGAAGATCCAGCACCACAATCTCAGGCAGCCAGTCCGATTTGTGAATTCCAACACACAGGCTGTTTTACCAACCGCAGAGAGAGCATTTTGGCTTTTCTCGCTGTGGCGCAAGGGCGATTCTGATGCTTGTCGAATGCAAGGCAGCAGGCTCACACCGATCAGCGCAGATCAACTGACAGGCCACACGCAAAGCACATCAACGAATCCAGCAGATATCAGTGGAGACAAGGCACCCTAGAAACCACTTATGCTTGGTTACACCCAATGTGGTGCTTGTGCAGAGAGCTGTGTTGCTGCACTTGTGTTTGGGCGATGCTCACGCTCAAACTAAGCTGGAACTGACCACTATTCGCACAGGACACCAATCCCGCCAGAAAGTGCTTTCTATCCAATCATGTCTGCATTGTCTATGTCTGTCAGCCGTTGAATAACCATTGCCTGGAGGAGTTCAGGGCGACGAAGGGCATATTCCATCCCAGTGCACATGCAGCAGGTATTGTGCTGCAGTGTATTTCCACAGCAGCAGCACTAGAGCGCAAGTAGCAGGTGATAACAGTATGATTCTTTCACAGGAATAAACAGGCAGACGATCAGAACAATGTGCAGCATGACACTGTTTCCTCCATTCCAATCATTGCCTCACGTTTCGAAGTCAGAAATGAGCCTAACCATTGCAAGTGTCAGAGATGAAGATGTGAATTTGGCCGAGATGATATCGCTCTATGGCAAACAAACGATGAAGACCCTTTTCACTGTCAAAGCCACTCACAGTGACTGCGAATCCGCGGTCCAGGCTCGCCACCTTCTCCAGCAGCTCCAATTTTATTTGTTCCTTCTCAAGGCTGGCCCAGTTACCACCTTCAGCAGTTGAGACAAAAACTGAAGGGTGGTCGTCACTGGTGCCATAGCTGCTTTCCTCGTTCCACATTTGGGCATCTTCTGCCGATGGAACCATGGGCCGCGACTTGTATGATGGGGCCTTGGCTTCCTCAGGCTCGGCTGCACACAAGCAGAGGTGGCCATAAGCAATACCACTGCCACCATAACCAATATTAATACTGCTTTGTGCTGCCATCACTACTGCCAATTGGAGATTCTTCAACATAGGGTGGTTGAGTATTGCCAGTGCACTGTCAAAGCATTGTCTTCACTTGCCAAGTGCCAAAACGAATATTGTCCCACATTCCCACAGATGAAGGGCAATATCCTGATAGTTACAGGGAGAAGTAAGCAAAGGCTGACAGCAGGATAAGCTGGTCCATTCTGCATTTTGCGAAGGGATAAACTTCAGCCAAAAGCATATACCATAAAAACACTGCAGAGCAAGACACGAAATGAGACTGCTGCCATAGAAGTAAATCCTCCTTGAGTGTACTTGTCAAGCATAACAAATAACAGCTCTTGCACTTGGGCTTGGGCTCAATTTCATATACAGTGTCAACCCATGACGAATCGCTTTTGGTGTGCTGGAGGCGAGGCAAGCCTCAACAAACCGCTTCCATCGCACATGTCCCTGCAACTGCATTCCATGCCTCCTTTGCACTCGGCAGCAATACCTGGACTGCCCTTACATCGCTTTGCACTCTCTTGCTAGGTGGGACAAGGCCCACACCTGCTTTGCTGGTATGGGTTTGGCACTTAGGCTCTTGACTTCAACGCAATACTCTGGAATAAAAATACCTGGACCGTGGGATACAGCTGAACTGGCATTCCAAACACTCCGCTCGGAGTGACAAAAGGATTGACTGTGGGGATTTTGGGCTCACAAGTCCATCTCATGCAGCACTTAGTTGCAGAGCCACAGCTGTCATCAACACTGATGTCTGTCTCAAACTGCAGAATCAGAGGGTTGGCTCCATTTTTCATCAGTTCGCAATGACAGTTCTGGAATTCCAATTAATTCCTTGCACAGAACAGAGCCCTTCAAACACGGCAATGTCGAGAACAAAGCCATCGATGACAGCCAGGCATCCAAAAGAGAAAATGTGAAGCAAGGCTCTTATCAAGTCGACACAGCAAGTGAGGTGGTGGAGAGCCCCACTGCCACCAGCAGATGTGACAGTGTGCTACATCCTGGCAAACAAAGGTGAATTCATTGCAACAAAAACGGCATACAATGACGATGAGTTCCAAGCAAAGATCTGAGGAACTCACGTGCCGATGCTGGCTCCTCTGCTTCTGGCACCTCTCCTCCATTGCTTTGCTCAGGATCGTCTGATTCAGAGTTAGTTTTTGCCGTGTACTTCTCTCCTTCATCTTCGCTCACTGCCAGGCATTTAGCCACGGACCTACACAAAAGAGGTGTTGGGATGTTAATGTTGACACTGGACATGCCAGTATGCCATCCCCAACGGCATTCTTGCAGTCTGAAACCAAATGCAGGGTCAAGGTATGCAGCATTCCACAGGTTCCAAGAGGCCTACACTGATGCTCCAAGAAAAGAAAACTGTGATCACACATTCGCTGCCACAGTTACAAGATACAGGATATTTTCTGCCCTGCCTACAGAAAAATCTGCGGACATCTTCGAGTGCTTTATTACCATGAAGACAAAAGGCAGACAGGATTTTGGAGCATGAGACCAGGGTCATGGCTTTGCAGACTGAGGAAGCAGAGCTCACGGAGCTGTCCCCATATGTGTAGTGTCGGCCTACTGCATTTGATATGATCCGTATGGGAAACCACGGCTCCGTTTATGGTAACAAGGTGAGACAGCGCTCGCTGAGGCAGTTCTTAGAAATCCTTGAGAGTTGCTAGTCCCGCCACATTTCAATTGCACAAAGTGACCAGGTGACATCCGCGTGCCACCCCCCTTGAAAGGACTTAAATCCACAGCAACCTCGATTTCGGAAACCCTGAGTTGACTCCAGTCAACTGATGGACTTCGGATTCGGCAAGAGAGCCACTCGCCAACCGTCAAGGCTTCCTGCGCCAGATTCGCCGACAAGACCACAAAGAATCCTGTGCGAACATGCGCCTGTCCGCATCCGCGCGGACTCTGTCACTCAAGTTTCGACCTCGTCACGTTTGTCCTGCATTTGTTCGACCCTATGGAACCTCTTCAACACGGAACATCGCCAAACAGGCAGGGCGACCCGCGACGCGGCGCACCGAACTGGAAGAGCATTGGGCGACGCAGACGACCAAATGAACGGCGCTCGAATGCGACAAAGAACGAGCGCACCGCGCCCCGTAGAGGCGAGGTGCGCAAAACGCCCCTCAAACATCCACAAACATCCGCAATTGGCGAGCAGGGCGTACCTGCGTGAGCGCAGGCATTGCGGCAGGGGCTTTTGCCGGGCAGCGCCCGGGGTTTGGGGGGGCCTGCGTCCGGAAGCGCTGTGCGTGGGCTGGGCCGGCCTGGGCGCAGCGGCCGGGCTGGACACCTGAGCAGCATCCCAAACGCCACGTCCGTCAACCAGATGCAACAGTCCCAATGCCCCCAGTGCAGTACCAAGACTCTGTTTCCGTGCTTTCGGCGCATTAGCTTCCGTCGATCAACAACGAAGGTAGGCAGGCGGGGGCCAGGACCGACGAGCACGAAACGCAGCGCGCGCCGCGGCCTCAAGTATGTAAGTGGCCGCGTTCGCTTTGAACCGGGCACTGGCGCACAATCCCCGCGTCAACGGCCAAGCGGATCCACTCGACGACCGGCAAGGCCCGGCCCGCGCAACCCACCAGGTGCAGCATGCTGCTCCGCGACGAGACGCGGTGCCTGCGACGCTGGCGGGCTGTCCGACGGCGTTCACGGCCCGGCTTCGCTGCCCCGCTGGCTGGCCGACCCAAATCGATCACCGCCAGATGTGCCTCAAATCGGGGCGTATGCCCCCGTCGCATCCCCGCCCCTCATCGACCGGCGCCCCAAATGCGCGCAGTCAGCGCCCCGCGGTGAGCGGGACAGCCCCAAACCGCCGCTTTGCCTCCCGGTGGCGGCGCCCTCGACCGGAGGAAGGCACCCATGGAACACCTGGCGCCCGAGGGGGTGAGTCTTTCAACTCTTCGCCCCCCTTCCCCACCTGCCTCCTCTCCCCCCGTTTTCCCGCCCCGCCATCTCCAATCCCCGCAGTTCGGTGCGCATTACGTGTCTTGCCCCAGATCGCCTCAACTCTGACCCCCTGTGCTCGCGCGTCCGTGCGCTCAGTACACGGTGGTCAGGCGGCTGGGGAGCGGCACCCACGGGTGTGTGACCCTGTGCGAGTGCCTCGCCACGAGGAAGCTGGTGGCTGTCAAGTCGCTGCCCCTGCGCGATCCCGACGGCGCCCTGTCCACCGAGGTGCTGCGCGAGGCATCCGTCCATAAGGAGTTGCGCCACCCCAACGTGGTGTGCCTGCTGAGCTACACGGCCGAGCGCGACCGAATGTTCCTCATCCTGGAGGCAATGGACTCGGACCTGGCGATCCACTGCAGGGGCGTGCGGGAGGGCAGGGGTTTCGACCCCATGGGGACCAAGGTAGGGAATGATGCCGGCATGCCCGGGGAGTGAGAGGGGGCCCCACCAGTCGCCGGTGTCTCGTCGGGCGTGCCCTGCGGAGCGATCTGCGAGGCGCGGTGGGGGACTGGGGATGCGGGATTTGATCCCCACCAGTGGCTCCGCGGATCTGGCGGCTGAGGTCGGCGGGGGGTGGCTGGGAATGCTATCCTCGGCAGTTTGGTGTCCGAGTGGCGGCACCGGGGGGCTGCGTTTGTGCGCTTTGTGTGCCGCCGAGGCGGGCCCGGGGGGGTGGGGGGGGCTGCGGGCAGAGGTTTTCAGGTGAGGCCCGTGGGCCCGCGGGCCCAGGGGGAGCTCGGTGGGAGATACGGATCTGTGGGCCGCAGGGGGCGAAGCGTGGCCCGACACGTCGGATTTTCTCGGTTGGGTTGGGGGGCGTACCACGTTAGATATGTATCGGAGCGCATCGGAAGTGGTCCGCACAACGCGGCGCTGACGGAGTGGCTGGATGGGAACGCATACCTGGGTAGTATAGCTACTGTACTATGTGTACCAAAGCGCACCCCCGTGATATGGCCAACAGAGGGGCGCTATTGGGTTGATGGTGTAAAGGTACCCTGGCCACCAGTGTAGGGAGTACCCTAAGCTGCCGGTGTAGGAGGTACCGTGACCCCCGGTGTAGAGGGTACCGTGACTGTCGGTATAGGGGGTACCCTGGCCTCCAGTGTGGGAGGCACCCTGGCCTCCGGTATAGAGGGTACCTTGCCGGCGGTGTAAGGGGTATGCTACACCTGGCCTACCAGGCCCCATACTGGTTTTTGGTGCCAGCTGCACAAAGTATTACGGAAGTGGTGACAAGCCAAAAAGGGGACGCTATTGGGGTCCCGGGGTGCTACCGGGGGCCTGGGGCGCTATTGGGGAGGTGCTGTACAGGGACCCCTACTGGACTGGTGGCTTTTTGTGCGCAACATGTGGAGTACTGGGAACCACATGCATGGGCATGGCATGGAGAATTAGAGTTGGGGCCTTTGACATGAAGCACTGGATTCCTGTCGCACTGTGGCCCAACTGTGCATAGCCAGTGTACTGCAGTCCGAATTGTGCCGCTGTGTGCGTGGGGGATCGCCGAGCTGCAGCACAGGGTGCAGAGGGCACATTTGCAAACCTTGTCAAGTGTCTTGCCACGTGCACCCTGGAGGTGGCATGCTGGGCAAGCAGTAATAAGTGTGAAATTTGAGTGACAATGTAGAAATAAGATAAGAAATGTAGCTTCCACACTATGCTGAAAAGGTTTGAGTGCAATGTCTGGCAAATATGCAGCAAGTGCGTCATTCATGCAGTGATTCCACTGTGACAGTTTTTGTTTTGTCTGGGTATGAGGGGAGCCATGGACCTTTCGGGCAATGGCGGGCCCACGCACAAACAACACAGACAGTTTTGCAGCACTTTGTGTGCTCTGCAGAGGATAGTTCTCTGCGCTCACTTCCCACAACAGATGTCAAGGTGCAGCAAACATGCACTGAGTACATTTGGGCTTGGAAACAAGAACGACTGCACAAGGCCAACACCTCTTCTGCTAAAAAGCTGTTGGCACCTGGTCTCTTACCTGTGATGTAGCTTTTTGGATTCAATAGAATTGTATGTTTTGACTGCAACAGAGACTGCATACCATGGGACCAGTGTGTCCCGAGTGTTGGACATTTATCCAGAGCAGGGACCTAGCAGTTTTGTCATTCCTTTTGTTCCAGCCTTCCTTCCCATGCTTGGGAGATAAAGCACCACATGCAAGCAGAATGGAGGACTGCATACTGTAACATGTGAATACGACACACAAGGGGATATGATGTCCTCAAAGCGATGCTTGGGCTGTTGGTATTGCTGCTATTCAGTTTGTAGAGTGTGTGAGTATGTCAGCATCACGGCAAATGCCGCCTTTGCAATGTGGCACAGCAGCCAATGAGAACCGTTCCTGGATAGCTCCACTGGTGGAATAGCACCGACCAATAAAGATGTTCTTAATCTCGTGTCCCCAATGTAGCGCCCTGGTGAACAACCAGACCGGGACATGAACCTTGAGCTCCCTTTCTGGGAAAGCTGCCTCAAACGATGCTTTGCCCCTGTCTGAAGCCAAGAATTGTGTTTGATGCAGATTTTGATGTACCAGCTGCTCAGGGGTGTGGGTTATCTGCATGAGAAGGGGTGGGTGTGTGTTGCTGTTGCCGTTCAGTTCTTGCTGCTTAAAGACGTAACATCATGTGCAAAATGGGGATGGGAACAGATGAAGAGTGGGGGAAGTTCTGGACATTTCTGTTGTAGACATATGTTTTGTTACAAGCATCGACCAACGTCCAATGATTCCTGCAAGGGCAGTGCCTCATTACTTATTTTGGCAAGTGGTCAAGGCAACTGCTGTTTGCCACACAATGAGAGCTGTGGGTCAAATGCTGTGTTGAAATAACAATCAAACTCTGGATGCACCCATGTCCGCAATCGCCTGATGGGTGCAAACACAGCCTTTCCTTCTGGATGACAAGCGCGGCTAGTGCCGATTTTTGCAGCATGACATGCAGGCGGAGTTTGGCTTTTGCTGCCAAGTGCTCGATTGATGTTGTGTGTGTTCCTTTCAGGATCGTGCATAGGGATCTGACACCCAGAAATGTGCTCCTGAAGTACAGTGCACACCGCATGCAGCTGAAGCTTGCAGATTATGGGCTGTCTCGGTCAGTTGCCCTCCCGTGCAGAGTACTGACTCCACAGGTGACGACCCTGACTTGCTGTGTGAAGGAATATCTCAAGCAGTATAGCCTTTTGAGCACAGTTGCTTGTTCAACTCTTTCCAGCAGTGCACATTACACTAGTGACAACCATCTGCTAAACTGCCCCTCTTTCAAGTAGTGCTTTTGGCACAGTGCTGCATTAGTGCAAACAATACCAAAACTTCCTGGTACATTGTTGTCACGTCGATTACCAATATACACAGCTGTCTCTTCAGCCCCTGTGGGCCATCTGTGTTGGCTGCTAGGCTTCCATCATCAGGTACTTCATTTGATATCATACTGCATTTGCACTGCTGGCTGACTCGACCTGCATCAAGCAATGGGCAGCGTGTGTCGACAGATGCAAGCTCGTTGCTAGCACAAGCCACAGGTCCCGGATTGCCCTGCAACGGTGCCCAGCACAGAAACCCAAATGGGCATGAAAATGAACAACCATGGTGGAAGCTCTCAGCAAGCGATGAGAAGTATCGCAGCTGTAATTTGTCATGCTGTAAGTTGCTGCTGGTCAGCTGTCCAATCTGCTGTTTGGAAGCAAGGGCCACAACCAAAGGGAATTCTGCTTGTGTGTTATAAGTGAGTCAGGAGTGACGCGACAATTGACAATGTGTTGCTCCATGCTGAATGCTAAGGAATATCAGTTCAGCTCAGTTCAGTTCAATATCAGCAGAATGCATGGGCTGGACCTATGACAGTCTCCCTGACGGACAGCTCTTAAAGAAGAAACAGCTTGAGTCAAAGACAGCATTGACGTTTTGCATTGCCTAACTGCCAATGTGCATATGGGATAAATGAAAAAAAGGCAAGACACTCAAATGATTGGCAAGTGCATTTGGTTCCACTATCGTTGCTTCAGGGTACGGCCATTGCTGCACGTTGCATGGCCAGGCCTGTAGTCCAGTCCAAAATACTGTTGCTTGTCCATTCATGTCGCTCGGAGGGATTTTATCTTGTACTATATGGGACTGCGACGGGTGAGTTGGATTGTGCAGGATACACTTGGGATGTTGTACAAGCAAGGATCGTGTTCTGGATTCCCACTATTAGAGCAACAGACCATTGCGATTTGCTCCGAATTGCATGTGGAAGCCACATCCAAGAGCACCAAACCTTTCTTCACTGAAACTGAGCATTTGTTTTGACACCAACAAGTTCTTGGGCGTTTCACAGCCTTGCACTTTCTGGTAATGTGCATAAGGCCCGCATCTCTTTTGTCAAACAGGAATGGCACTCTGGGCCCTTATCTGAGGTGTGATCATGTTGGAATCAGACAAGATGAAACAAATACAGCAGCTGTGCATACTGTTCCCTGCGCACAACCGAAATGTGTCACATCGCACATCGCATTGGGGTCTTTCTTCTAGTCCATCTTCTCATGGGGCTTCAGGTGGAGATTGCTGGCTCTTTCTTGGGCCAAGAAATTGAGTTGTGGGCATATGGAAGATTTGGATGAAGCTTGTTGCTGCTGCTTGGCAAATCTCAATGCAATCTGAATAACTTTCTTGTCAGCAGCACTGGCCATCCGCACTGTCATTTGTGCACACAAAATAGTGCCAACTGTAAGTGGTAGATGCACATGTGTTGTGTGAATCAGCGAAGCCCATTCTGGGGAGCAAACAGTGGCAATATCAAACTACTGTTAACTGCCATGTAACGAAACCAGAGGTATTTTGCAAGGCAGCAACCGTTGCAATCGGAGACGACATGCAAACACTGTAATTGGCCCCATGGCATTGAGTTTCTTATACTTGAGATCGCCAAATACACTGCAACAGACAGGCCACCCCTTTGTCACCGTGCAGCTGCCTGGAGACAAATTTTCAACTGAATGAGCATGTTCATAGGATTGTCAAGAGCAGAGCATGAACTCCATCTTCAAATACAGCACTGTAGAATTTGGTAATGATGTTGGTGACTCCTGGCGGCAGCAATCGCCATATCAGGGCCCTGTTTTTTTGTGGTGATGGGCGATTCACTGGATCGAGGGATTTTGCTTTGTAGCAATCGCCCTGGTGACCATGTGCACGGATGCGTACAACCAGACGCCAACCAATCTCATAGTTGAACTTCAAGCTCAACAGTTGCCCGCGACTCTGTGCACTGTTGCTCAAATGTGGATACCAGGGAACGGAGAGAATGGCGCTGGAGAGAATGGCACTATGTGGTGTCTTTATGGGTGGCCGGGAAGGAAGCAAACTAATCGATTTGAAGGATGGAAGGCAGCGGTGCAATGCAGACTGTCTTTGCCGCTGCGGATGCCAGTGCAAGCTTCAACAGCGACATCACCGTGGTTCAATGGCACAGCTAAACAAGAGTGATGAGGGGCCTCACCAGGCTTGTTTGGGTGGTTGTGCAAGAGACAGGAGGAGAAACGCTGTGAGCAGTGGTCAGGTACCTCCCCCACACCTCGACTGCTCTTGCCAACCAACAGGTCCTGGTGTGGGGGATGTCCCTTGGGCTCATGGCCACTGGTAAGAGACGGGCAGGCAGCTACTATGCCCTGTGCTGAGGTCGACTTTTCAGCGCCTTCAAGACACCAGATCGTGACTGGAAATGGGTGTGGGCGATGTCCAATCCATTGGCCAGGAAGTGCAGCTCCAGCAGTAGCATCCTTTTGCACGTTGGGAAGCGACCCATCCCCCTACAAGGACACAGAACAGTCTGTGCCAAAGTGCAGCTATCAGATCTGCACATGTGCACAGTGGATACACAATAATATTTCACAGGAAGCTGCTGGTTTCCTTTGCCACTGTATTCAACTTCAGCTGGCTGGCTTGTCCAACACCAGCTACTACACCTGCTACACCAGCGACTACACCAGCTTTTCCGCGCTTTCCCACATGTCCTGTCAGCAAGGTTGTGCTTGGGGTGCAATTAACGGACATTTTTGGACAAGCACATGGATAGAATTGTGCCCACCATAATCTTTGGGTACAAGGGCAGTGCTTGGACACAGTAGTGTGAAGTAAGCCGAACGGACTGGCTGCAATCTGGTCTGCATTCTCTGTTGCCACAACAGCTGCCAAAGATCCTGAGGGTCGTGTGCTGTGCTGTGCTTGGCGGCTCTGCTGGCATCAATGTCCTCCCATGCTGGTTTTGTCAGTCTTGCACATTGTATGTAAGAATGTGATGTGTCGACTTGCTGCTGGTTTTGCTTGCTAAGCACGTTGTTTGCTGCAAGTTAAGCATCATATAACAGAATTCCAGTAACACAGTGAAGGCTCTTCTCTGTAACTAGCGATTGTGACCACAATCCAGTCCTGGCATGGTCTCTCATACACCAGCACAAAGTCTTTCAATCAGTTTTGATGTCACCAGCCTCTACCCCACTGGCAGCATTGTTGGCCATGGATGCAGTGGCAGGCTTTGATAATCCCTTTTGTGGATGTCTGCACAAAAGGGCGTGAGGACATCACCGTATAAGGTGCCCTGCAGAAATGCAGTGGAGAGCACAGCACCGTGAACTTTTTGGGTCGTGTGGTCTGTTCTTCTTTGTCTCTTCCCTAAACAGCTTCTCTCTGGTGTTGCTACTGCTGCTGCTGCAGCTAGGGCTTTCGATGTTGGTCAATTTTCATCAAGATTGAAGTCCTAAAGTTCTCCACGTTGATACCAGTGGTGTCAAAAAGCCAACCTCATGCCTGTGCACATATTGAATTTGAAATTCAATTGAAGCCATTGTCACTTTGGTTGGTGCAGGAAACAAAGTTGTGTGTAATGCAATCGTGTGCAGTGTGACCCTGTCGAAAACAAACAGATTTGGACGAAATGCTCGTGGGTTTTGTGCGCCCCCTCTTGGTTGATGTATGAATTGTCGTGAATGCTTGTTCTGAATTTGCCTTCAACCTGGTGTGTTGAGCACCTGGCACATGAGCGTTATTCTGTAAGTAATTGAGTTCCCAACTGCCCTCAACTCGAAACCAAATACCCCAAAGCCAATAATCTGTGACCCTGGACACTTCTTTGTCACATGCCATGCTTTCTTTCTTTTGGTTCCCCTAAACTGTTGTCTTCCTTGATTTCATGTGCAACGAGAACTGCCTCTGTCTATGCAGTCCTTTGTCTGGACAATCTGAAGTGTGACCATGTGTGAATGTGAATGCCTCCTCAACAGAAAGACACTGACTACAAATGTGTCTTTCCCAGCGTGGAACCACAAAAAGGTCGTGTCACCTGTCGCCCAATGTTGTAACAGTATGTGTGTAAATGTGCATATTGTCAACCAGGTGGTCACCCTGTGGTACCGAGCACCAGAGGTTCTGCTGGGCTCCACAACATACAGCGAAAAGGTGGACATATGGTCTGTAGGCTGCATTTTTGCGGAGATGGCCACTGGTCGCCCGATCTTCCCTGGGACATCGGTGGGTGCTGAACTTCTGTGTTTGGTGTATTTGACCACAATAGACATATTTCGCCTACTCCTGCAATGAGGTGTGGAACAATGGCATGGTTGCAGTGCACGCTATAATGTGTACCCCACATGGATATCTGCGTGCTGATAGTCGTACATGGATTATTCATTTTCACCTTTGAGAAGGAGAATTTATTGAGATTGAGAGATATGTTGTACATCAGTCAGCCACGTTCAGGAGCAAACAGGGCGAGACTCTATTTGATTTACGATTACAGGCCATGCGAAAGTCTGCCAAGCAAATGCGAGGAAGGAAATGCCAGCTCGTGCATGAACATTGGAAATGCATTTTGTTGACTGTCTCCAATGCGACTTCCAACGTTTTACTCGCTGTATTGTGGGTTGACAGTACCTGATTGTTTCTGCTCACAAGATTTATTTTCCTATTTTCTTAATTTCCTGTCTTCCTTTTCCCTATCTTCCTATCTTCCTATCTTCCCATCTTCCCATCTTCCATCTTCCATCTTCCCATCTTCCCATCTTCCCATCATCCTATTATCCTATTATCCTGTTGTCCTATTTTTCTAGGGCAGGGCTAGGTTATAACTATCTTAGCTGGTAATTTGTAAGAGTAGTGTACCCATGAGTAGTGCAGATATTTCTGGCTTTTATGGCGGTTCACACAGCCTTCTGGCTTCTGGACAACCCCATTTCTTGCACTGAGAAACATACCCAATTCCCAAACAGAGCCTCCCATTGCAAAGGCCTCAGTGCTCTCGCCTGGCATGCAAAGTTCACATAACAACTTGGCAATATGCTGCTGGGAGTCATGTGCTCTTGCCCATATCGTAGCATTGGCCATCCCAATGCAGCTTCACGTGTGTTTGGGATCGCACCATCATACCAGATATGGGTTCATGGTATTGTACATGGAATGCCTTGTGTGCAGTCTCTTGTCTAGAATTGGCCTGCAGCACTGCGTTGATTGTGTGCTGTGCCTGTATCTCAATTCTGTTTTCCAGGATGACATCCCTCATTTCTCAGAATATTGAACCCCTTCAAACTACGTTGTCGATGAGCGGAAAAGCGTACCCTATTTTCATAACATCAACATACTGTATCAGCAGTGTGTCACATCGTTTGGACTATTAGTAATATGAGACCACCCCGTGCAATATCAGCGCAAGATTTTGCCCAGAGTCCAAGGGATAGTGCTGCGTCAGTCTCTTGGGTCCCTGTGCATCTGCTTCACCCACTGGATAGCGCTATGTGAGGTCAGTCCACTTCCCTCGAGATTGCCGGACCTGGGGCGCATCATTTGTTTCCGAACGGAGGTGTGCCAGGACCGCAGTGTTGACGTCCGCCCTTGCACAGGGGCGGATGCGCACAGAGATTGGCTCGCAGCTGGGCACCCGTGCAGAGCTGCAATTGGGAGTTTGCAGTGGTGCATGACTGCAAGTCAGAGCCACTCAGTAGCCAATGTCTTTGTCGCGCCAACTCGCATTCAGGGGTTGTCATCCATCGCATCAATGACAAGGCAGCCTAATGGACTCGCCCAAGTCTTTGTGATCCGTGGCAGACCCCAGTATCTCGTGCTCATTTGCCCCGTTCTATCCATATCTACCAAGGGCAGCAGCCTAGGAAAACCATATCTCCCTTGCTAATTAACAGATATGGATGTTTCATAGGTTGGGAACATACAAAAGCTCCTAATCAAGCTCAGTAAGAGTCTGGTCTCCCTAAATGACTGAAATTGAAAAGTTAATGATTACCAAGCTGCATTCCCAATGCAGTTCGATGATGGATGGTACTGTTGTGTGAGCAGGAGATTGAGCAGTTGCAACTGATCTTCCGTGAGCTGGGGACCCCACCAAACCTCAACGCAACATTTGGACTGGGGCGTGCCGCTCCAGAATTTCCGCGTTTCCAGGCGCAGAGGCGCTTTCCAGCCCAGAATTTGAACGCGCCTGGGGTGGACCTCTTGTGGAGGCTCTTGTGCCTCGCCCCAAAGGACAGGGTGTCCTGTGGGGAGGCTTTGAGGCACCCTTACTTTGCGGGTTTGAGCCCGTGCCAGAGGAATGGGTAAGTGCACCCCGCGCCTCTCTGAAGCTACGCATCTAATATTTGCAAATCGCCTCGCACTTCGCACAGGCCGAAGACCCGCGTCTCAGATGTGAGCAGAAGTGTCCATGCATCATGCACAATGTTTGTCCTTTCTGGGCCAACATTGCACTGTGCTCCTCTGTTGCAGATGCCAACATGGTTCATGGGGCTTTTGCGTCACTGTCGAACCATAGGGCCAGTTGCGCGGGACTTGTTTTGTCAACACCATTGCATGCGACATGATCTTTTATGTTTTCACGTCAACTTTAGTGGTGTTGAATAATGCGTTGGTTGACTGATTGACCGCTGCTTGTGGTGTTTGTAGGTGGAGATGAGGCGACCTAGTCAGGAAGCGAGAGAAGAAGCAGGTTAGTCAGAGACGTTGATGATGTGGGCTAGAATGTCGGTGGACACGCAGAGTACAGTAGGGCGGAGAGAATATAGGTCGTGACAGCAGGTTTTTGCTCAGACTGTTGCGTTGGGGCATGGGGAATGTGTAGAAACTAAGTGGCAAAGGAGCACCGTAGTTACATGGCGGAGCTGGGTGATATGCGCACTATTATACATTCATTAATAAAATTGGCGTTTTGGGGTCATTGGTCGGTCTAGTTTCCCACCTCTGGAACCAT